GCATGGTTTGATCCTCTCTTTAACACTGAGATTTTCTCTCACCAAGAAGAACTGAGACTTTTCCATCCACAGGTATTGATGGCATAGGAAACACACAAAATGTCACCAGATCTCAGCAAATCAGTTAAACTCCTGGTGTTCCATGATAGTTAACAGAACTATATCCATCCACTGCAGCTGAGGGTGTGGTGGATATTGTCACATGGAAAGAACTTTATTGTGTATATTACCAGGTGACAGAGAGACGGGGTAATGAAAGAAGCCCTATCTCAGGTGATTTTTACCCCCATTCTTAGCTCCAGGGAGTCAAAAAAGGAGATGAAACGGCTCCCCCATAGCCCTCTCTGCTCTGCCCATTTCTTCTCTGCCATGAGCTCTTCCTATAGGGTCAGAGACTGGTGGGAATCAGAGATGTCACCAAAAGATAAATAAATCGAGAAGCCTATTCATGGATGTCCAGGCCAAACCTGAGGGCACTGCAAAACTCGTGTATGATGCATTAAGAGATCTCTTTCCCTCCCCACCTGGCTCATCTGCAGAGAAATTCTTACTTATACCTATTAAATCCTACAAAAACGTCCCTATGACTCCATATTCTGTCTCCTGAAAGACCTCTAGTGTAGGACCTTTGACAAGAAAGCCATCAAACTTGTTTAAAATCAGACCAGTGTGTGATAGCAGGTCTGTGCCCCAGATGCAGCCCAATGTCTAAGATGAGAACCAAAGAAGTGTTTCACATCAGTGGTGCAAAGCTGTTTCCCATGTTCCTAATGACACCGGGCTTCAGAGCAAATGAAACCCAACCTTTCCTTCCTTCCCCCTCACAGCGTACGCACCTGGAAAGCTTTTAATAGGTTTTCTGTTTGCCTCACAGGGGCTCATGTTCATGCCTGAGCAGAGACGTGCATTGTGACTTGAACTCTTTCTCCTGCTGGATGACAGGTGATAGAAACACTACGTATACACATATCATATAACTAACAATAGCACCTGGGCCGTGGTGATGGGATCTGTCCTTTGCTGCTGGAGCACTTCAGAATTTAAACAAAGGAATTAAAACATCAGCTCTGAATTCACAGACCTGGGGTTTTTCTTTTAACCCATTAATAGGCACTCTCAGATTCACATCTCAAAGATCCAGTCATGCAAGACCCTAAGTGCTTTCCCATTCCTGACTACAGCCAGATTAATCCTCTTATACAGATTATTCCAGGACAAATTTGGCTCCCACAGAGTTCTCCTGCAGCTCTATAAATCATTTGGAGTGCTGTAGGACATGTTACACCACTGAGACTAAGGGAGAGGTTCCAGAGATTTTAACCAGCACTTACCAAACCAGGCTGCCACAGTACCCAGCCCCAAGGTGAGCTCAGTTTCCCTCTCTCCCAGCTGGGGTCTTGGAGGACAGTACCACACTTCTGGGTGGAAGGAGAGGAATGCCCTTGGAGGGCTGTGCTCTTTATCCCCTCAGTAGCACTGACACAAGGCATGTCATGATTAAGTTAATTTAGCATTATTAAAATGCTTTCCTCCTCCCCTACAAACACTCACACAAGTCATTACATCACCGTGCATCTTGTTTCACCATTAGTTAAGCTCATATAGCACAGCACCATTGCTGCCAAGAGAAACTTGCCATTAAGCAAATTAGCCCTGTTCTTATGACACAATCAATAACTAACATTAAAAATTCAGCATCTGAGGTTTTGTATTTTATTTGACTCCCAAATAACAGCAGATTATGCCAGGTACCATTGAATAACTAAAGTTCTAAGAAGACAATCTCTTTAGAGGTGGTGCTAGTCTGTTCAGAAGATACAAGAACACCAGCAAAGCACTGGAAGACCCCCAAGCAAGGCATTTTCTGTGGCCTTGAAAAATACTCATATTATATTTACACAGACATGTGTTTTTCTGTCTATGCTGTTCATGTATGCTCATTGTCTATGTGCAGTGCAGGTTGTGTATCTAAAATACCTAGCATGAAAAGATTTCCCATGTATTTACAACCTTCATTCATTCCTGACAACTTTTAACCTGGCTGAGCCATATTAGAAGCCAGTGAACAACCACCTCTGCTACAAATCTGACCAGTCCTTCACTCTGCCAGTGTTTTCCCATAGTAAAGAGACCTTTTCCCAGGAGAAAGTCTGGAAGCATGCCCCCAGAGCATCATTTCCACACAATTTCATTAGGAATGGACCTTTTGTGTGTCAGAGAGGATTAATTTTTTTGTTTCTGAACTCCTTGTGCACAAAAGTTAATCCAAAGCAGACAGGAGTCAATTAGGTCATTAATGTGCTAAGCCTATTAAGAGCCAGGACTTCCATTTCTTTCCTGCAACAATGAAAAACATTCAGGAGTCTGCCTTTAAGTGGCAAAGCCCATGAGCAATTTCATTATTTTATGACACCGCTACTTGAAGCAGGAGCTGTTTGCAGAGCAAGCAGCAGTCCCCACTGAGCAGCAGTCAGGTGCTTGGCTGCCTTTATAGCATAGCAAAAACATCAGCACCCAAGGGATACGAATTCTGTTCCCAGCTGGCTTCTAAACTCCTGTGTGATCCCAGGGCAGGGAATCACTCAGTCCCAGATTTTGCTCACCTGCTTCCTGGGGGAAGGACCACAGCTATCCTGGTCTCACACAAGGGTCAGAGAGGCCCCATGCTCTCCCCAAATCCAGTCCCAGTTTGGCCCTTCAATTCAGTAGGAAAAAAATCCAGTCACAGAACAAGATCCATAGCCTTAGATGAATGTTACACCAGACTGTGAATCTCCCTCTGCCTCAGAACATACAGATACACATTTAGCCCATATGGCCTGGCAGGAGCTGAGCTATGGTAGTACTGTGTGCATATATGTGCATGTGCTAGGTCCTGAGGCTGTCAATGGATTAGAAGCCCAGTAGAAGCCAGCCTAGATGCCTTGACCTGCTGCCTGCATAAACGGGAGGCACTGAAGTATGCAGTCCCTCCAGTAGAAGGCAGGAACTGGAATATTAGAGGGATAATGAGGCAGGAGAGGAATAAAATGAATAGAATATACAGGCACACTGTAACCTAAAGACATTTCACAGAGTTCACAAAAAATACCCTCTGTGCAACCCACCCAGACAGGCTTCCACAAAAGATTCAATTGCTTCAAAGAAGACAAAACTAGACCAGCTTATACAAGCTGACAAACAGATTGTTTGGCTTTAGACAGCGAGAAGACAGGATCTGAGCAGTGAATAGCTGGCCATTTTCTTTTGAAAAATGGTAGGAAATAATAATATCAACAGCTGCTTTATTATTAACACCAAACAAAACCCCCACCCCAATGAAAAGGGTGGGAGGCAGCTGTAGCTTTTCAGGGTTTCAGCTACTGAGCATTAGAACACAAACAAGGTTTGCAGCAGCTCACAGGCACACACTCTTTAACTGCACAATACAGTAAAGCTACCGACCTTCTGTGGTGCCTTGACAGGATGAAGGTGAAGAACAGGAGAAATATATTGGCAGGAAGACCATAACCAAACAACTGGATCTCCTTCCTGTTAGTCTCCCATTCAGATGGGGACTTTAGGGCTTAAAATCAGATCTCAATTGTCACTTTTGATTTAGGTTTTTTTGTTCTTAATGTAAAAAGCTTTGACATTGTCAATCTGGGTCACAACACAAGACTGACACCTTGGAATATGTCACCAGGTCTCGCATAGCCATGAAGACCTATGGGATTTAAGCCCAGGATCCTAAACTGCAAGGTGTGTCTGCATGACACTGCAAACTGAATCCAGAGCATTAAAGAACGCCTATGTTAACTGCCAGACACACAATTAATATCTACATCGTTGTTATTTCTCAGGAAGCTGGTTCACCTCCCAGCTCTTGTTATGCTACAGAAACCCATTGAAACAATATACCTCATCTTGCTAAACTAGTTAGGCAGAAAAGCACTGGAAATTGCTTGAGAGGTTGTTGTTTGGTCCAGAATAGCTTCACACACAGGAAGCACATCTGCATTTCAGCTGCTGCTGTATCCACAGCCAGTGTAACAGCATGGCAGACAAAAACTGCTCAAGCACTCCAGCACCTAACTCGCACAGGATCCCTCCTGTCTCCACTGTAGCTCCTTCAACATCCAATCCAGACAGATTAAAGTTAAGCTAAGGGATACTTAAATGAGTTGCTATCACATTTTGGACTCCCAGACCTCAAGTCTGGGTTCCAAGATCTCCAAGAGAAGCCAAAGACCTCAAAAGTTTCTTAGCAATCTCTATGAGCTCATTCCCTCTAAAACAAGGCAAGAGGAGGGGGGGGAATAAAAGCTTAATTTATCTCACAAAATCTTAAAGCAAATAGTTTAAAAGTTGTCACTCACAGAAACAGATACAGCCTCTGATGGATCTTGTGCTCTGATAGACAGAAGTAAAAATGATGACATGTGAGAAGATGAAAAGAAAGTAGATTGCTTGACAAGAGAAACTGCATCTCTACTCCTTTCCAAACACTTTTTATCCTGTTGTGAGCTGGATCCCTGGAGCTGGACGCCACAGATAACACTTCTGGTTAAAGTATATGACAGTATCAAAGTGTTTCTTCCCACGTTCTGGAATTCAAAGATCACCATTTTATCCATGCCTACCTGGCACAACTCCAGTGGGAAGATGAGATGGAAGAGCACCCCTCACCACTGACTGCAGCTTCAAACTTTGGGCCTTTGCTAAAAATACTGTGAATACCTTCCAGAGCGGAGGTCACATTGCATGGTTAAAGCAGAAGTTTACTGTTCATCATTAACTCTACCTTCTCCCAGGCTGAATGTTACGGCAGGTGTCCTAACAAGGTTGGCATTTGTGATGTGACTCCTTCTGCCTGAAGCAGCAGAAGGCTTCATTAACACCTGCCATTTTTCACTAGCTCCAGCTGCTTGGATTACAAAATACAGGCATATCTGGCAGAACAACAGTTAAAATTAGAATTGCATCCTCATGGTTATTCTCTTGAGCCCCTTCAAGCTCACCTGCTACAACCTTGCAGTGCTCATCAGGAACGTGAGACTTCATGGGGTGGCTTGCCTTGGTGGATCGTCTGCGCCTGATGAAGTGTTCTTTCCCACTAAATGAGGTCTCTGATGTATTCACTGGTTGTATCAGCATGTGCTCTGATCCAATTTGGATATAGCCAACCTGTTCAGAAAAGAGAACAAAAAACCCCATCAGTTTGGTATCCTAATCTTGTCTATCAACCGAGTGTGAACCTAAACCATTCCACTGCAGCTCTTGTTTACAGTGTGAGGAAATGAAGGGACAATGATTGTGTTTAGTCTGCTTAATACAGACTAATGAACTTCACCTGCTTCTCCTGTTTACATCACTGAGCCCTACTTGGAAACACTGTGCACTGTACATGTACAAAGAAAAGGTGGAGGTTCTTGTCAAAACCTTTCCCTTCTTCCTCTCCCTCTAGCTACAGCCCCACTCTAGCTGGAAGCATAAATACCCATGTCTTATGAGATGCTCAGCTCACGTGAGGAGAAATAAACCCTATTAACAGAAATCCTTTTATAAACACCTTTCTAATTGCCATCTAGAATTGCATTGCTATTAAATGGCATTTACTATCTCAGAAGATCAAAGAGGTGAGATTGCCTACAAAGAGGAGACCACCTGTGTGCATCACTTGCAGACAACACTAAGTGAAGTGATGTTGTAAGTATGACTTGCAGAGCCACCCACGTGTTTTATGTACAGGGACCAAATACCTCTTCTTGAACTGCAATAGGGGCCACACAGTAAGAACTGTTCTCACTGCAAGCCATGGGTTGCAGGGAGACCTTTCAGCGGTCAAGCCAGGAATGGATTGTTGCACCTTCCCAGCTATGAGATTTTCCACTATCCCTGGAATAAGTAACACAAAGAAGGCAAAGACTCTGTCTAAATAACAGTAGACTCCATAAGCACTAAACCCCAGCCTGGCTTGCACCAAACCCAGACCCTGCACCAGGGCTGGCAGGAACATCTTTGGAAGGCAGCTTCTGCCCCAGGAGAGCCCTCCTCTGCAACGCAGAGCTTTTAAGGTTCTTTTATGCTTTTTCTGACCCTTTTCTGACATGAAAAGAGTGAAAGCAAAGTCATCACCTTAAAACTTAACAAAGCCTCCAGGTTTAGTAATCAACACTGAGGTTATACTACATTGGAGGAAGTGAATACATACAGTGAGGGTTTCTTTCCTACTTTTCATTGTACTAATCCAGTGATCATTTGTATTGCAATTAAAGGTCTTGAAATACAGCTCTTGGCCATTCACACCCCTGAGAGAACTCTCTAGGTCTGGTCCAACTTCTGCTAGCAACAGAAGGCCTCATCTGGCCTGCCAAGAGGCATCACATCATGCCTATGGTACACCTTAAAGGAACTTACAAAGGGGTCCTGCTACGTTGCATGCCCACAACACCCATCCTATACACATAAGGAGAGACCAGACTTTCCCCACACACACTGTGCTCTGTGCCAGCCAGGCAACCATCCAAAGAAATGCTCTGCACGTACATGCAAATACTATATATTCAACAGCTGACTGTACTAATATGATTTATAATATACATTACATGCATACCGTATATTGCACATTTCCACACCTCCCTGCCAAATTCAGTCCTCACATACACCCAGGAAATCCCTTTGGCCTAATATTTCCAGCAGGAGGAATTTCTGCTAACAGAAAGGAGACTTCTCCTCTTTTGACAGCCCTGCTAACTGAACAGCATTCATGAAACCAGGATCTCTCAGAAAGGGTCACTAGCTTTGGAAGTGCACTTTGAAGAACAGCTAAAATAATAAAGATCAGTGCCTCTATTTGCCATGGCTGAAGCAATTCATCCAGTGTCTCTAAAGAGACAAGAAACACCTCTCACCTCTTTGGGGTCTGTCAAAATAGACCCACTCGTGCCCTGCAGTTCCCAAAAGTGCTGCCTCTTCATTTAAATCACAAGCTGGGCTTTGTCAGATTTGTTTCAGAGACAGCAAAAGCTCCAGTGACTTCTTCCAGCCTCCCTTATGATGCTCTCCATTACTTCCCCTCCTTGTTCCAATCTTCCAGCTGGGAGGTAGCCCCAGCCCCCTTTTTTAATATAGGTTTTAATTATTTAGAAGAAGGGTTGTAAATCTGGTGCCATGGTACTAAAAGCCACACCAGAGCTCCTGAAAGACTGCCAACCATTTCTGGTGCCAAAAATATGTAAGAAGAAGTGGGTTTCATCACCAGCCGACATTATCCCAACTTTCTGGCATCAAGTGTGAAAATAATTTAAACCATTGGAAAGGACTTATGTTTCACATTTGCTTTGGAATTGTGAAACCTATAGAGGGAAGGAGCCATGTGTCTTCACCCTGGAATAGGTTAAGAAGCAGTCTCAAGTTTAATATGACAAGGCAAGTAGAGTTTCAAGCAGGAAAGATGTACAGGATCAGGCCTGTAAAGTATTCCCAGGGAGTTAAAGTTTTCCCCAGATTTGCCAGTTGGGTTCTGAAGAGTCCTCAAACCTGGATGGGATCTTCTGGACCTGGTAACGTGGATACTCTGGCCATTATTTTGCTTTCTTCATAAGAAATGCATTCCTCACGTTGCCTCCCTCAAATCCTCCAACTACCAGATACTGTACTGTGCTCAGCAGGAGATATCAGACATCAGCACAAATACTTTGTGCTTTTTTTCTCTAGCCTGTATGATGTACAGGGACTGCAGAATGCTGGATTTTGAAGATAAAGAAGTAAACCAGAAGACCACATAACTACCAGAGCTGTTCTCCCCACATCTCTGGAAATCATTCCAATTAAATAAAATGCTTTGGATCTGCCAATTCATGTTTGCCTGGGGAGATCCATATCAAAAGCTGGGATACTCCCTCTCATCCTTCTTTCACTGTGAAAGCCCGTACAAACAGGACCTGCCAATGTGCCAGAGCCCAGCATTGACTAGAGTCTGGGAAAGCAGCTGCTGCCCAGCACCACCATCCTACAGAACCCGAGACACAGGAGTCACCAGGAGACCAACAATGCAGAGGGCTGTAGAATCCCAGTCTGGTTTGGGTTGGAAATGACCTTAAAGCTCATCCAGTTCCAACCCCCTGCCACAGGCAGGGACACCTTAAACTAGAGCAGGTTGCTCCAAGCCCCATCCAACCTGGCCTTGGGAACTGCCAGGGATGGGGCAGCCACAGCTTCTCTGGGCAATCAGAGCCTTCTCCAGGCTGAGCAAGCCCAGCTCTCTCAGTCCTTCTCCATAGCAGAGATGCTCCAGCTCTGTGGCTTCCTCTGGATTCCTCCAAAAGCTCCACATCCCTCTTGTGCTGGGGTCTACATAGCTGAACACAGCACTCCAGGTGGGGTCTCACTGGCTCTCACAGAGGTCATCATCTGCATTATGAATCTAAGCTGGATTTTACAGTCACTATGACAGGACCATACAGCTGACAGGATCACGCTGCTCAGCTAACAGGAAAGGCTGGAATGATTTCAGCCTCAAACGACAGGCAACTAAACTGACAAGTTGATTAAAATAAACAATAATCCGCACTTGCCACTACAGAGCCACTCAGCACCCTGCTTAACAGTGGCTACATCTTTCATCTTAAGGATATTTCATATTCTTCATTTAGAAGTCAGCTCACTAGCGAAAAGAGGCCCTGCTCTCCAAACCACCAAAATACTCTCACTTGCTCTTACCCTGTTTTCTACATACATTGGTCACTTGAGCAATCTGCTCTCTATCTAATCTACTATCAGTAGTTCACTCTTCTTCTATACATGATCTTCCTTGTCCCTGGGGCTTTTCTCAGCCTGAATGACAGCAGGGAAGGGAGGAAGTGTCCTCACACGGTGTCACTGAAATGACAACTGTAACAATAGACTGCTAGTGCTGGCACTCAAATAACGTTTGTAACCACATCATCCTGCTCGGATGGCTTCACCGTTCTGTCCCCTGGGTGCCCTGGTGGAGCTGCACCAGCCTGAAGGCTCGCTCAGGACAGGAGCCTAAACCTTCAGTGTTCTCTGCAGGTGGCTCTGGACCTTCCCATGTGTTCGTGGTCTCCAAGATGCAGTGTTTTTCCAGCCCTTTTTACTGTCACAGTTTCTTTGAAGGAGATCTGTGAAATGCTGAATCTTTAACAGCTTTTTCTTTTGCTCCTGAGTGTTCATTAGTTACATACCCACGAACATGCAGAAGAGAGTTTTAAACATCTGACAAATTCCATCCGCTTCTCCATTTCTCAACTGCTACACTCTAAATCCTACTTTAACCATTTCCTCAAAGTTAAAAGGAAGTTGGCTTTTAAAGTGAAGACCAAAAACCAACACAAATGCAGTTTAATAAACTTCATGTGGCTTTTAGCCCTGTCCTTATTACCATGCTTCAGCTTTCGGTTATCATTTACAAATGCAATTCCATCAAACTTAAAACCAGATTTAAATGAGGTCTGTTATGAGAGCAGATCATACCCACTGTGCTCATTCCACGAGCCCTCGTAATGTGCATCATTCACTTCCACTGATCCAGTCTGCACAAGGAAGTCTCACTGAGTTCAAAGATGACAAATACATGGTGTAAAAGTTCTATGTATGAGATAGAACAGGAGGGAGCAACAACCTCTTCTCTTACCACAACTGAGAAGGACAATCCACTTTAACTAGAGACAGGCCAAAGAGCAGTCCTGAACCCAAACCCAAACATTCCAGATTGCAGAATGGAAGAGAAGTTACTGAGAATGAGAGCCCTGCCTCTAAATGCATAGCAGTGATTTTCAGCTTTCAGATATGGTTCCTGAGCAGTCAGGAGCTTAAGTTCATTTCTAAGTCAAAATTTAATGCTCACTTTAACATGAACCTGCAACCCTCAGCAATTTAACTACTTCAAAAATGTAAGTACAAGAAATACCATGGGGCTGCAGGACTGATAAACACTACTAGGACTTAGAAAAAGCATTTTTGCAATCACAGCACAAATACATGGTGCTGGAAGAGCCTTCTCTACAGTCAAAAAAGCTCTACAGAAGGTAACACTGCTCTGCCAGACTTTGCTAGAGAAGGTAAGGGCAGCACACTGAGGGCAACGCTCAAAATGTAGCTGAAATTGCACATGAAAGCAATGGATGAGTAGTTCTGAGATGTATGAAACAAACTGGAGTTTCCTTGCTGCAGGGGGACTAACCTGTGTCATCTAGGAATTGATTTCAGATTTAGAAGCAGTGACTTCAGTCCACAACTCAAGGTAACACACACTGTGGCCTTACAAAGGAGCTTCCTAAAAAAGAGGCAACTTCCTCTATTGCCTGCTGTCTTCTAGTGTTGGTTAGGCAAGTTGCAGCACTTCACTCCTGACCGTGTCTCCTCAGCTCCAGGAAGGGACAGTTGAGTCCTGCAGGGTGCTCAGAATCCAAGCGTTTGCACAACTGTGTTCCCCAGGCTCAATACAATCCTGCCAAGCTGAAGGCAGTGGAGGTTTTGGGGAACATAGGACCTCTTGTCTGCGATACCCAGGTTGTCAAGAGGAACAGACAGGCTGGAGTATCCTCACATGCAGTATTTTAACTGTGCAGATGAGATCTTAGGTACACCAGGCCTGACATGGCCACCCTTTTCTGTGCAATTGCAAGGTGTAGCAGGAAGCTACAACAGATCACATACTGGTTAACAGCAGCATCTGCAAGCAGAGTTTAAAGAACAAAACACAACCTTCAGATGCCACTCTGGGAATGCGAGATCATTACCAGGAAGCAATTGCTCAGCCTGGCTGTAGCTCAGTTTTCATGCCACTGTGTCAGGGATTTTGTTTTTATTAGAACTCCACTTGCCCCGATCATTTTATATCACTTTTTGTGTGATTTATGGCTCGCTGGAGGAATACGATTGCAACGAAGTCTGAGCCAGCTGGAGATCAGCAGGCAGCATTACTACTTACTCTGCTTCTTGGCAACCAGCTCTTGTGAATGAGACATCCTGACCATCCGGTTCCAGTCCAACGTGCACTCCCACGCTGGAGTTTTTAGGGAATCTCCACCTGCAGCACCAGCACTGCTCAGGAGACCAAATGCCAGGATAAACAGGCTGCAAGGCTCCCACTATCAAGGTCTTTCTTCCAGCTCAGCATGCAAGCCTCATCCATGTCCCCACCTGTGGAGCTCTGGTGCTGCTGAGGGCAAAGCTTTATTCTTTCTGCTGCAAACAGGGCTTAAGGAAGCAAAAGGAAAATTCCAATTCTCTTGGAGTGATGGTCTTAGTGTTTTAAATTGCCAGACTAAGAGGCAAAAAGCTCCAATCAGCTAATCTCAGTTCTCATGACAGATTCAAGACTTCCCAGATAATGTGAAAACCCTTGATTCCTCTGATCCCAGAAAATATCTTACCACTAAATTGCATGGCTTTCACTATAGGTATGTTGATTGAGTATGGCCACTGCAAAAGACTGCATAAACACTGAAAGCATCCTAAAATCCAATATTTTACCTATTTAAGGATAGGCTTAGGAAGCCAAAAGGTCCATTTAAGTAGAATAAGGTCTGTCTCCATGGTGATGCTGTTCAACTTAATGACACCATTTCAAAAGTCAATAAGGTTCATCTTGGAAGTGTTCAAGGCCAGGGTGAACTGGGCTTGGAGCAGCCTGCTCTAGTGGAAGGTGTCCCTGCCCATGGTAGGGGGTTGGAACTGGATGAGCTCTAAGGTCCTTTCCAATCCAAGCAATTCCATGATTCCATGACCTTAAGTTTAAGGTTATCCCAAAGACACTTGAGATTTCTGTTCTCTAACTTTCCGTTCACAAGGGTGTTACAAACCTTAACTCACTCGTACAGATCAAACACCTGCTTTTAGCCCTTTTCCCATTTCTGGCGATTATCTGAACGAGACTAAATGAATGGATTCCTGTAACAGGAAAGGAGAATCCCAACAAGCAGGAGCACATTTACCCACAGGCAAAGGCATCAAAGTTTTACCAACACTGCCCATTAACACGTGGCAGTGTGTGCTTTGGTCCCCAAGAGGTGCCACAGACCATCAGCTTTGACACTGATCGCTTTGAGATCCCACATTCATCTGGCTCAGTTATGTCAGTATAGTCATTGCTTAGAATGTATATGACACAAACAGGGCAATATTGCAGTTCACATTTGCAGAGTAACGAACAAAGACTAACTAGTCTTGTTTCTTTTCCAACTCTTCTACTGGGAACATCGCCAATCTTCTTTGCTCCCCCTCCTCCATCCCCTGATCTCGGGCACTTAATATCATGCCTCCAACTACATTCCTGTATTCCAAAAGGTTCCTTCTCCGCCTGCTTGTGCTTTTCAGCTGTGCTGCAGTAGGTAGCTTTGGGAGCCCAGCACTTCATGACCAGGATTAACAAAACGTGCCTCGTGACAAAAGCGTGGAGCTGCTTGTGATTTAGAGCTCGAACTGGAGATATCAGTTTTAAACTCCATAAAGCCCTCAGAGGTCTACAGCTCAATTTACAGTGCCACTCAAACGCTCAGCAGCTCTGAGCCACTCGGGCTCTTTTAAACCTGAGGCACAGCGCCCTCATATGGCTCAGGAACGAAGGCCCAAGCCCCAGGCACAGACAGCGCTTCTGGCTACCAAGTTTAAGGCTCAATCTCCATCAGCAGGTCTGCACTGAGAAGCTAAGCACACATCCAGGGCCATGTCTATGCCCAACGCCCTGGTGACTTCCTGAAGTAACCAGAAACCAAGTTATCAACAATAATTACAGCCAGGTATTGTCTCAAGTGTCCAAGCTCCACCATGGAGAATCAGAAAGGCTGTCCCATGCAATGTCACCCCTGCTTATCGGGATGCTCACAGGAGAACCCAGGCCCTGCAGAGCCACCTGAAAACGCCACAACCCATTTCTCAGCTGGAGATTTCTCCGGTAGACACACACATTTCTCAGGTAGAGAAATCCTGACACTGGAGGTGGGAAAAGCCTCCCTGAGTGGGATATTCCCTCTGACCATGACGCAGTACCACATACCCCAGTACCACATGCCCCAGTACCACATGCCCCAGTACCACATGCCCCTACACTGCAGCTCCCTCATGCACCAACGCTGACTGCACCAGGGGGGTGGGAAGGACCAGGCTGTGTGGTGGGGCTGGAGGAGCAAGCCGGGCACGCAGACGACCAAATCCCCCCCAGTGGGACCCAGCCGCCCCTGATGGCAGGGGTACAGTGACCAGAGGAGGGGTCCGTCAGCCAGGACGCTTCCCTACAGCACCCCAGGCCCTGCCGCACAGGGGACATGCTGCTGCCGGGGCTTTCATTCCCTCAGGTACGGCTGATTCTGGGGCAGATCCCACAGCACAGAGCCGGGACAGACTGAAACCCCACAGCGGGACAGCGGCGGTGCTGGCCGGGGCCCGCGAGGTGAGGGGACGGAGGAGGTGCGCGGCACTGAGGTGAGGCGCGGGCACGGCGCTGAGGTGAGGGCGGGGAGCCGGGGCTGACAGGAAAGTAATGGCGGGGGACACGGGACAGGGTCGCCTCGGCCCGGGTAGGCGAGGGGACAGCGGGGGACGGGCAGGGGGGTCACCGCGCTGAGGGGAGGCGCGGGCAGGACCCAATGGCCGCTTCCCGCCTCCGCCGGGCGGGGTCCGGGGCTGACAGGAGAAGCTCCCCCCGCAGCCCGGGGAGGGAGCCGCGCTGCCCGCGCTGAGGGGAGGCGGCCGCGGAGGCAGTACCAGCCCGGCGCAGGTGCTGAGGGAGGCGAAGGAGTCGGTGCGGTTCAGGACGCGTCCCGTGTAGAAGCAGAGCCGCTCCTCCGGGGGCCGCCGCGCCTCCCCGCGCCGCTGCTCCACCACGAAGTCCCGGGAGAGGAAGCTCAGGTCGCGGCGGAGGTGCAGGTAGAGCTCGGCGCCGGAGGCGGGCAGGCGGAGCAGCAGGGCTTCGGCCGCCGTCCGCTGCCGCGGCAGTGCCCGCCGGCGCCGGGGGCCGCCGCGATCCCCTCGCACGGCGGGCGGCAGCAGGTGGATCTTCTCCAGCGCCACTCGCTCCGGGATCACCACTTCCAGCTCCGCTCCGCCAGCTGCAGGCGAGAAGGAGACAGGCTCAGGCGCTCGTACCCCCGCCGGCAGGTCCCGGGGGCTCCGAGCCCAGCCACCCCATAACCACCCCCCGCGGCACAGCCCCGCGCCCCGGCTGCATGTCCTGGAATGCAGAGACCATGGATCCAGCGGAGAAAGGGGGCTATTTGTCCTTCTTCCCCGGTGTACACACGGATATTAGAGACAGAAATGTGCAGGGAAGAGAGGAATAAAGCAAATGCTAAAGCTACTTGTATCATTAAAAATATATATATATAGCTCAGACACAAGCATCGCATTTCACCAACCCCAATAAAAATCTGCAGGGAGAAGGGGAAAAGCAGAGCAAGCCGAAGCCGCAGCCAAGGACAGTCAGCAGCTTTCCACATGGAACGTTACAGCAGTAGCGGCGGCAGCAGCTACAGCAGCGAGAGGACGGCAAGAGAGAATACAAAAGCCTGGAGCAATTCACCCTGCAGACTGGGACCGCGGCCACGCCGGGGCTGAGGGGGGGACCCGGGTCCTGCCTGCACGCTGCCGGCCCCGCTGGCTGCCCGCGGCCAGGGCTGTCAGCGCGGCTCGGGGCAGCCGGGGAGGGAGGCGTTACCTGTGCCGGCGCCCAGCCCGCAGAGCAGCAGGCAGGGAACCACGAGCGGCAGGAGGCAGCCGTCAAACATGGTCGGGTGGCGGCGCGGCGGCGGCAGCTCGGCCCGCTTGAGCCCTGCCCGCCCTCGGGAGCAGTGACCGGCGCCGCCGACAGCCCCGGCGTGCTGGGCGCCCGGACACGCCCCTCCCCGCGGTCCCGCGTCCTCATTGGTCCTGGAGACAGCGGGGACACGCCCCTCGCTCTCCTATTGGCTAAGAGTGGGAAGGCGCTGGGCGGGCTGCGGAGGGGCGGGGAGCACGTGGGTGTGGGGGCGTGGCCGGCAGGGGGCGCCCTCTCCTGCCCCTGTGCCCGCTGTGGACATGGCGGCACTGGCTGGTGACCGGGATACCCGGGCCTGGAGCAGCATCCGTCCTACAGCATCCCTCCTGCAGCATCCGTCCTGCAGCATCCGTCCTGCAGCATCCGTCCTGCAGCATCCCTCCAACAGCATCCGTCCTGCAGCATCCCTCCTGCAGCATCCCTCCTGCAGCATCCCTCCTGCAGCATCCCTCCTGCAGCATCCCTCCAACAGCATCTATCCTGCAGCATCCGTCCTGCAGCATCCCTCCAGCAGCATCCCTCCAACAGCATCCGTCCTGCAGCATCCCTCCAACAGCATCCATCCTGCAGCATCCATCCTGCAGCATCCCTCCAACAGCATCCGTCCTACAGCATCCCTCCAACAGCATCCCTCCAACAGCATCCGTCCTGCAGCATCCCTCCAACAGCATCCATCCTGCAGCATCCATCCTGCAGCATCCCTCCAACAGCATCCATCCAGTCTCAGCATTCCTGAAACCAGGACACTGCTGCAGCAGCTGGCATTAAAACCCATCCCTTCCTGCACACCCTGCAGCCTTCTCCACCACCTTACCTGAAGTATTCATCCCAGGACTTGGCACACCAGGATATGAGGTCAGTGCACAAAGAGTTTAGGCAATGATCTTACATGTCCCAGGAGTGCTCATTGACCCCAGACTGGTTTGGGTTGAAGGAACCTTAAAGCTCATTCAGTCCCAACCCCTGCCATGGGCAGGGACACCTTCCACTAGAGCAGCTTGCTCCAAGCCCCTGTGTCCAACCTGGCCTTGAACACTGCCAGGGATGGGGCAGCCACAGCTTCTCTGGGCACCCTGTGCCAGCGCCTCAGCACCCTCACAGGGAGGAGCTTCTGCCTATAAACCTCAGGAGATGTAAAAATCGTTTTTCACAGTGGTGGGCAAGAGGGGGATGCTCATTTGAAGCAGGGAGGGCAGGGTGTTCAAGCTAGCTGGGAAGGATCTTTGAGAGAGGAAGAAGAGGAGGAAGCTCCCTGCCAGCTCCCTTTCTCTTGCCATTTGGGTGCAGAGGACTCTCACCCAGGTACAATCCATTCCCATTTCTCCAAGAGATCCTTCCCACCTGATGGTTAGGGCACATCCTTCATGTCCTCAGCTGCCCAGAGGTCAGGAGAAGTCAGCCTGATCCAGGGGCTGTTGCAAGCAGAAGGGTGATTTCCAAAAGCAGAAAGATTTCCACTGCATTCAGTGGGCTTTGGATGGGATCCTATGCTCCTGGCATGGCCGAGTCCTGGAAAGAAGTAAAGACCCAACGTGTTAGCAGCCTTAAACTGCTGTGGTCCAGCAGAGCAGTGTCCAGGAGTTTAAACTTCTGCAAAGATCTGCAACTTTGTTCCTGAAATTGTAGAAGAATTCAAAGAAAGACCTATAAAAGGGTGAGAATGACTCTGGCAGATCTCAGTGCAGCACTTCCACAACGGTTGTCCAGGGCTGTGCTGACAGTGGTAATGGCTCTGAGTCACAGGCAAGGGGAATTAGATCTGGATGCTCATCGTTGCGAGAGTGCAGCACTAAGGAATGGGCTGTTTGAGTCTAGGAGAAGGACTGATAAGAGACACAGGCGGGTGAACACCATTTCCTTTCTTTCAGGCATTGGACAGGCAGCAAGAACCGTGTTTTCTTTAAGATCTTCATCTCTCTGGTGCTGTAGCACTTGAAGGATGTTACCAAGCAAGAGCAAAACTGAGGACCTGCAACCATCTCCCAGCAGACAAAACCTGTGTGAAGCCAAGACCCCATGGCTCACATTCACTTTCTTACCATGAGATCAGGTGAGATTTAATAGCTCTGTGTTTTCCTGTCTTCCAAGGCTCAATCTGATCTCTAACAGTAAATCAACAAAGTGAAAGGACTGGCCCAGGACCCACTCAAGTGAGACAAAACCTCATTTTGGGACTGCCTTGCTGTATGTCAAATGTGGTTAAAACAAAGCCTCAGTGCGTGGTTTCCCTCCTGACCTGTTCTGGACCAACAGTTTCAGTGCCTCCCTGCCAGGCCAGAGCCCCGGCTGGCGCAGCAGCTCCCCCACAGCTCTGCCACCCGTGGCAATCCTCCACTCCTAAGAACCAAGAGGCAATTTGATTTGTGAGCTGCCAAACCTGGCCTCAGCCCTGAGCAGTCACGTTTAAAGCCAGACCACCAGCCGGCTTCGTTTGCTAAGGGACCTCGTCTCTTCCCTCAAAAGGGTTTGACGAGGGCGCTTCGAATTGCTTTGCTTTTTAGTAGATTCTTTCTCCCACCTTCCACAATCCTCTGCCAAAAAAGTAATAACAATACAGAGAAAGAATGAGTTTCATAGCGTGGGGGAAAAGGGGCACTAATAAAGAGAAGTCTGTAACTTACTGCATGGAAGGACTCACTCAGTGGCTGGGCTGGCCGGCACAGAACACATCGAGGTAGGGCTGGTCCCTGCTGAGCATCATGGACTTGCAGCATCCTGGCAGGGACCCAAGGGGATGTGAAGCCCCACAACAGGGGCAACATCAAGGCAGACCTTGGTGCTGGCAAGAGCTGGAGCCAGGAGCAAGGGATAAGCCCCTGCAGAGGTACCCACACAACAAAAGAGGAAGTGTCTTAGGAGCAGCAGTGGTTTTATTGAATCCAAAGCCCAAAGCTCCAGTGAGACACAGGCTTTCTGCATTAATTTAACACCATTTCTGGGCTTGTCAGAAATGCCTTGAAATTGTTACTGGTAAGGACAAAGCATGCGGCAGGAGGGGGCTGAGGTCCTGTTGTGCTCAGTGCATTTCTCCCTTGTGCCCAGCCCGTGCAGGGGGGTTGCTTCTCCTCCTCTCCCCATCACCGAGTGGATTTGGCTCTGCAGTTTCTAGGAAACAAACCCTCTCCCCCTCTGAAACTCATGTTTTATTTTTTTGCAATGTTCAATGCACGTCGAGGAAGCCAAGTTTCATGGCCATTATTGCACACTTAATAACCCTTTGGAGACTGCAGACATGTGTTATATACATCTTCCCGAGCAGTCATTTGGCTCCCCGCCTGGAAAATGCCAGCGTGCAAAGGGTTAACTTGGCCATTACTCAGCCTTCTCCTTTCTCTCCAGCCACCCTTATCCAAACCCTTCCTGTCCTGGTCCTAAGCAGGCAATCCCACCTCAGGGCTGATGCTCTCCTGCCCAGGACACTCGGATGCCTCCCATCCTCTCCCCGCAGCCCTTGGCCTTGCTCTGGTCTTTGGGCATCAGGGATTTCCTTCCCTGCTGCTTGGCTGCACCTGCCCTCATGCTGCCGAGCTTGGCCAGGCTGGTCAAAGGGACCTGGTCAGTGCTGCTCTGGCTGTGCAAATGTCCCCAGAGAGAAGGCAGAGGCAGTTTAATGATAAATAGGGACCAGGATAAGCTCTTTTGTCATTTAAAACAATCAGCTGCGTACATTCAAGTAGTTCTGTAGGTGCCAGCACTGGGTTTCTAGAGATGGGTTTTTCACAGGGAACCAGAGGTTTGATTAAAGCTTCTTCCCTGGGTTGAGAATGTTGAAGGTTGTGCTTCTTCATGTTGGACTCACTTCTCATGGTTGGACTCAATGATCTTAAAGGTCTTTTCCCACCTAAATCATTCTATGTGGAGTCAAAGAATCATACAATCATAGAATGGGTTGGATTGGAAGGGACCTTAAAGCTCATCCAGTTCCAGCCGCCTGCCACAGGCAGGGACACCTTCCACTAAACCAAGGCTGCTCCAAGCCCCGTTCAACCTGGCCTTGAGTCTCCAGTGTCTGGTGCTGTTGAGGCAGCTCCAGCAGAGCCATTGATCAGGTTTTTCCTTCCAGCAGCCTGAATTCTGAGCCTGAGAGAGAAGAACTCCCCCTGAGATGTCTCTGTCAAGTCTGGCTGAAAATGGACAGTGTTCCTGAGCTCCTGGGGATAAGGAGCTGAAGGAAAAGGGACGGTGACACTGGAGGTGGCCATGGACAGAGCAGAGCCAGCAGAGTCTGTGTCCTTAGGGAGCATGCAGCCTGTGCTCAGTTAAGGTAAGTCCATGACAGAAGGCCTATCCCTTTCTTACTTCTAACAGGGAGCTTCATTCACAGGCTGGAAAGGGTTCCCTTTTGTCAGAGCAAGGTTGCTGTGATCGACATGTGTCTGTGTCACAAGCAGCGAGTGCATTGCAGGAGGTTTTCCATGGAGATCTTCCCTGCAGACACTTCCCCTCTGCCCCTCTCCTGGGGCCTCACAGCTTCACCCAGCCAGAATAGGGAAAAACATCCTAATTCCATGGAAAACAGGGCAAAGAAAACCAAAATACTCCTGTGGGATAGGGGCTGAGCAATGGACTCCTAAAATCCCAGCTCGCTTCCCACCTGGCCATGTCCCCACACCGCTGCCACCACGGCCTGTGCAAAACCTCCTTTGCTGCTTTGGCACAGATGTTTGGAGGGATCAGGGTGCAGCAGTGTCAGGAGCAGAAAATGACATTGCTCACATGCCGCTGTGGGTGAGAAAAGCCAGGAATATAGAAGGACGTGCTTCCAATTGAGTGACACTGCAGAATCCGCTTCCTCCAGCGCAGGCAGCACTTGGTGTGTGTAGAGGGATCAGAAGTGTGAGTGTACCAGCACCTCCATCAGACCATGCTGGATGTTTGAACACAGACAGGGCTGGTGCAGGGTCTGTTTGGTATCTGAGCGCAGTGCATAGATAGCCATCACCCAGGCAGTCGTGATCAGGCACACGTCACTCCCCAGGCATGCAGGAACAAATGGACAAAGGAAAGAGCTGTCTTTGTTTGAGGCTGACCCTAAAGTTCAGTGAGGCTTTTTTATGA